ATCACTCATTTGACAATGGTAAAAGGTTTCTGAATGTTCAGGCACCAAAAACTCAAAATCAAACATGAAAAGCATGACTTACTGTGATGTCTTGTGTCAAATACAAGACTTTATTCACTACAGCCTTGGCTCTGAAGACACCAAAATGCCAGATCTTGATTTCCTCGGTGTGATGCTATTTAATCACAAGTTTATGAATTTTTCTTGTGGTTTTATTCCATTGTGCTCAAACAGAATATAAGGTATTACTCACTTTTTCTATATGTTAAGATTTACTCTCTGAAGTAGAGGCTTCTAGTTTTGCTTGAAGAATGTTTTGCCATGTGACGTTTTTGCTGGAGGTTGGCATGTGAGCAGACACGTGAAGTTTTGCTCTCTCATGCAAGGGGTGTGACTTTGTTCAGCTGAGAACATCCATGGGTGGACTCTGAGGAGAGGAGAGTTATACAGGCCTATGCACAGCAAGACATTGCTTTTTGCATCAACATTGTGCTGGTATTTGTGCTTTGACACTTGACTTCACAAAAAGAGAACTTCATTCCAGAGAACTTCTAGGGCAATCCAACTGAGTCGTGCGGCTTTTCCTGACTTGTCCCAATCTTCCAAATCCTGTTGCTGCTTGGTGTTGTTGGCCTGTGGACTGGCCTTGCTGGTATCCTGATGATAGAGTTCGGTAATCCCCTAAACACCCATGGATCCTAATCAGCAGGGAGTTGATAAAAGAGGCCTACAGCCCTTTCCCCTACACATCTGTCCAAGGTCAGGGGTTGAAAGGGAGGTAAAGGTGGTTAAGAACCCTAAATAAAATAGGTTTGGTAAAAAAAAAAAATCAATGCCTACAACTCTCTCCCACCCTCCCTCTCTCGGTGTTTGTGTTACATATCAAGTTTTATGAGATATTGAGAAAAACGTGCATTCTCAAATTATTTGTAAGAACTGTTTTGCAGATATCTTTAAGTTCATTTGGTCTATTATGCCTTTTAATTCAGGTTACCCCTTTTTCTTTGCTTATATGAGAGTAGGGTATTGAAGTCACGTACTACTACTGTGCTGGGATTAATCTTATCTCTACTAGTGTTTGTTTTATAAAATTAGGCATGTCCATGTTCTAAGTCTATCTGTTTGGAACTGCCACGTGCTCCTGATGCATTCTTACGTCATTCTGAAATAACTATCTTTTTGGCTGAAAGTCAATTTTGTCAGATATTAGAATAATGGTTCTTGCTTGTTTCCTACTTCTAATTTTCTTGGAACACAGTTTTCCCCATCCTTTCACTCTAAGTAACATAGTTCGAATGAGATATTCTCCCATATTTCCCTGGGCATCTTATTATTTGGTCCCCAGTTGGTTATACTGTTCGGCTAGGGCAGGAGCCTTGAAGGAAGGAGCTGGGACCTTGAAGGAAGAAGTTTGACACTGGGGTGAGATTTGGGTTTCCAAGCCTGTACCTTTCCCAGGTAGCTCTCTGCTTGCTGCTACTGTTCCAGCCAACCACGCTCTGCCTGCTCCAGTGCTTCTCCACTGTGATGGGGACGGACTCAGAACTGTAAGCCCCAAATAAACCCTCCCTTCTATGTGGTGTTTTTAAAATGACAGAAAAGTAACTGCTAAGGTAGAATGTCTCTTTTATGGTGAGGTGTGTTTCTTAGAATGACAAAAAGACCCTGCATTTAAGCCAGTATCCTAGTATGTGCCTTTTGACTGCCAAATTAGGGCCACTGATAATTAGAGTTATTATTGAAAAATGTGTATTATCTCAACTCGGTTTCTTGATTTTGCAGTATTTGTTGTTTTCTTATTCCTCTGTCATTTACCTGATATTGAAAGAGAGGTTTATTCATCCCTGTTGATATATTTGTCTTTCTTTTCAGTCTGAAGATTCAGTCTGATGTTCCTGGTTGGAGGCTGAGAGCTCCTAGTGGTCACTGCTTCGTCAGCCCTGGGTTGGTGGAGGGTGAGGACGGCCATGGGAACGGGGTCCGCAGCGCAGCGTGCTCTTTAATTCCAGCCAGCTGAAGGGAGAAGTGAAGTGGGCATGCTCAAGAAGGTCCAGCTCCATCCGCTGCCCAGGCAAGTGAAGCCTACACCCAGGAGCCATCAGCCCTGCCTGTTACTTCAGTGAAGACAACATTCCAAGGAGACTCTAGCCTTGTCAAGCACTCTAGTGAGCACAGCATGCTGCTAACGCTCCATATGACCCATCCCACGAAAAGTTGGCAATAACCTGGTACTCTGAACACTGCGAGTTTCTCTGAGCAAAAGTATGAAATAGGTGAAATAAATAATGAACTGAACCATCCAATGATCTAACTCTAAGTGTGCAAATCCCAACACAAAAGCAGGGAAAACCAAGACAATCTTTGTCCTTTAAAAACCATTAATTCTACAGTAATGGCTGCCATGAAAGTAAATTATGTGAAGTCTGAGAAAATGAATTTAAAAGAAGAAACTAAACTCTTAAAAGACTGCTGAGAACACACACAGATGAATGAAACAAGGAGTCTGAAAGAGGAATTCAATATGGAGATAGAAGAAGGAAAAAATTTAAATACTGAAAATGAAAAATGTAAGGCAAATAAAAATATCTTTGGAGTGTCCTGCCAATAGAATGGATTAGAGAATTTAATCCTGAAGAACTGGAATGAACATTCCAACAAAGATAACAATTAATTTAAAAAAGGGGCACATGCTGGGCTTTGATGATATTTAGAAATTATGAAAATACCAACTCTAATAATCATGAATATAAAGGAAAGTCAAGAATTCCTTTCTAAAAGCAGATAAAACATTTTCAGTGAATGCCCATCTGGATAGAGGAGGCATCCATCCAAAACATTAAACAGATGAAACCAAACCCTCCAAGTACTCAAAACAAAGAAAGGACACAGAAAGCTTCAAGAAAGATGCACCAAGTCAAATACAAAGGCAAGCTCATCAGAGTAACAGCTGATGGGTGTCTCAGCAGAAAGGCATGAAGCATATTTTATAACTGCCACCCCAGACTAGTATACCCAGAAAAGCTATGAGGAATAACTGATGGATGAAAAAATCTTTCTATGGTTAAAAATAGATTTAAAGACCTCATGACCACTATTGCAGCAGTACAAAAGGTACTTGAAGGGCTTCTTTGGACTGAAGAGAAAGAAAAGGAAGCTTTCTCCTTAGCACTAGGTCATCTATGGCAAACCACAGTTCGCTCACTCATTAAAGGGTCTGTGGATGTGGGGATTGTTGTCAGTTTGGGGTTCTAAAAGTAAAGCCGCTGTGAACATTTGCAGAGAGGTTTCCATGAGAACATTTCCTACTCTGTAGGACAGAGTGAGATTTCTAGAGAACACTCAGAATGTTTAGTTCTGACTGCATTATAGCTTTCCAGAGCGACAGTGCTGTTTTTCCTTTCTACCTGAAATATAAGCAACCCAGTTACTCTGTGTATATGACACTTGATCCTATCATTATTTTAAACGTTTTGCCATTCTTATAAGTGTGCTGACATCTCAACTTGAATGTTACTTGAATTTACCAAATGGCTCATGTGGAACTTTTTTTTTTTTTAAACTTTATTTTTCAGTCACATTCTTTTTGGTGCTGTTGTCTTTGGCCACTTTCTAAATGGATTGTTTTTATACTATACATTTTGAAAGCTCCTTGTATATTTTAGGTAAGAGTTCTTTGTCGGAAATGTTTTACAAATATTTTTTCCACTTTATTTTCATCTTCTTGCTAGGGACTTTCACATGCCATGCACATTAAATTTGGCAGTCACTTTCCTTTGTAAGAACACTGCTGTCAGTGTCATGTTTAAAAAGTCTGCTCAACTGTAGGTTATGACTATTTTCTATGGTGTTACACTTGCATCTATGTTCAAGTTCCACTGTGAGTTCATTATTATGGGTGGTGCACGAATAGGTCAAGGCCTCCTTATAACCAAGGGCTCCGGTAGCATTTGCTGGGTAGGTGTCTGTCCTCCACTGAATTGCCTTTGAGTCTCTGTCAGTATCAAATGTGATTTCACACGTCTTTTGCTTTCTTAAAGGCTGTGGATCCTATTTAAGGGCCCCTTGAAGAAGGCAGCATCACTGTTAGCTGTGGTTAGTATGAGAGCTGTTGGTGTATATCTCCATAGTCGAGAAAGCAGAGCATTGGCTGACCCTCATGGCAGATTCATATGTCAGCTCAGCTCCATTTCTGCCCTTGCTGAGATCTTTATTGGATGATGATTTGCCTATATATGTTGCCTTGGCAGTATATTAGCTCATCACTCTAGATGATACTGACAACACCAAAGGATGAAGGAAATGGAAATAGAATGAGACAAGGCATGGGACTCAGCACCATGTTCCACATGTTGATACGGACATGAAAATGGTGGTTCAGTTAAACATCATTGGCTATTTACCAGAGTGAAATTATTATTATTTTCTGGTGCTGAAAATGAAATACAGGGTTTTTATAATGTTAGGCAATCATTTTACCACTAAGCTATACCCTAAGTTCCCTAGCGGAATTCATTTAATTTTTACATTTAAGTTTTCCATAATTCTCAATTTAAGCATTAAGTGAGGAAAAGTGATTTAAAATCTCTCTCTCTCTATTTATTAAGAGGGTCTTGCTATGTAGCTCAGGCTGGTCCCATTATGCTGGTCCTATTTCAGCCTCTTTAGTACAGAGATTACAGGTTACAGGTGCTTGCCATCATCCACATATGAATATTTGATTAATTTCTAATTAATGCTATCTGCTGCTGGTATCTGGTTTTTCATGACCTGAATGTGGAGCATATTCAGATGGGCAAAGTTTATTAATAGCACATTATTTAATGTTATGTGAAAGTAAAGCTATATTTAATGGAGCTTCCTGTACAGTGAAGTTCTTATTTTGACAAGACATTCAAGCACTCTGTTCAAGAATAATGTCTAGAGACATAGAACAGATTTATGCATGGTGACTCAGCCATCATCTGCAGTAACAGACTACACTTACTAGCAGTTTGTGCTATCGGAAATCTCTATGATTTATTAACAGAACGGCTTTATTTCTTTTTGTGTGCTGATGAGTGCCCATTGAGATGTTCACGTGCTGACAGACTTCTGTATGCCTTTATGCCATCTTTCGCGTTGAGGAAGAAGCTCACTAAGTTGGAAGGCATGGATTTTTCAATTATCGAGAGGGGCACTTTTCCTTTCATTTCTGTCTGGACAAACACCATCAACTTGGAATATGCTGGGTTTCTGTAAGCAAATGAAGAGTTACAAAAGATAAAACATTCTTAATTTGATCTTATGAAATGGCAAGTTCATAGAAGGCAGGATTCTTAAATTCTCTTCGATTCTTTCTATAGTGCATATGACAAGATAGTTAACTAAAGGAGGTGGGGAGGGAGAATGACCTGAGATCACATCCTTATAAAAACTATTCAAAAGGTATATTAACTTTTTAGTTTAAATACCCTTCCTTTTGTTATTTCTTTGATTCTTTGAGTGGATACACAACCCTCATAATGCATACTTTTTCTTTTTTTCTGAACAATTATTCTAATCATGTTTATGCAGCATTTATAAACTTTATATAGCACCATTATATATGTAAACTATTTACCCAATAAGAAACACAATGTCTGCCTTTATTAAAAATGAAATAAACAGGGAAAATTATATACATATGTTCCCATATATGTGCAGATTCTTCAGTGAGATATATTTATATTTTTCCTTTTTATTAAACATATTCCTTTTTCATACAATATAATCTGAATACAGGTTCCCTTCCCTCCACTCTTCCCAGTTTCTCCCCACCTACTCTTCCATCTGGATCTAGTCTGTTTTATTTCTCTCATTAGAAAAGAAAAGGCTTCTAGGAGATAACAACAACAGCAACAACAACAACAAAACAGTATAAAATAACATATAATAAGATAAAATGAAAACCATCACATCAAAATCGGACAAGCCAAGCCAACATAATATTTATATAACTGCTTTCATTAATTCTCCTTCTCTGAGACTGAGTTTTGGTGCATCTCAGGCTAGCCGTCCCCCTGCTTTCCCCTCCCAAGTCCTAGGATCACTGTCTTATAGTACCACACCCAGCTTAAAACATACATAGGTTTACTCCTTAGATGCTATGGCTACAGAAAACACATTTGAAAACTCTAACTCCTATGGAAGAAAAGAGTGATCCAAAGGCTCCAGCCAATAAAGCGATAAAGGCTTTATGCATTTTGTAACGAGCAGTGTAATGGCTGGCTCAAGTTGTGGTAGATAGATTCTATTAAATGCATTATGAGGGCTAGAGATCCATTTAAGTACATCAACATTCAGGATCTGATACAAAGTGTGTCTATGTAAAATTCTAGGTCAACTTGAAAATATGGAGGCATACAGAGCTTCACAGAATGATTCTAAAATTGCAGTAACTGGTGGGAGTGTCACCATTTTTGTGTATTCTTACGAAGAGTCTAGACTATTTTTGTCAGTCCTAAAGCTTGGCATGAGTTTACTATGGGGTCACACACATAAGAAAGCCTTTCTGCTGCTGCTGGCGAGTAAGTCGGTATGGACACTGTGTTTTACAAGGGCTCCGCCCAGCTTGGCTACATATGCCACTGTCCAGAACATTAGACTGCGTGGAAGGAGAAGACAGAGCACTTTGGTTTCTGTCACCATCTTTCTCCAATCTGTGTAAATGGGATTGTGCTGTTCACCCAGCAGGACAGCAGGCGGAGCCCAATTGTAACAGTCAAGAGTTGATTCTCCTCACTCATTTGGAGCACCAATTCATTTGCTTTGTTCTTCTAGGGAATCAAGATCTTGGCCACAGACTCAAGATTGACAAATAAATGGAAAGAGCCTATAGTATTCCTGTTACAACTACGTGCAGCAATGTCAGTCTGCTAACGTGTAAAATAGGTCTAAGCTCTTCAGTTCAATACAGAAAGCACTAGGGAAAACAAAATATTTAATTTTTATTTCATTTTAGAATTATTAATGAAAATACAGGAGTCCCGTAGCTACATCATTTCTACCTCTGCCCCATCTAGCACTTCCCATGTTCTTCTCCCACTCTTACTGCTTCTCGAGTTTATGACCTCTGCTTCAATTATTGTTACACAGTTCTCTCTCTCTCTCCTACATCCAGTTACTGTCTTTTATATATCCGTATGCTCAAAATCCTTTAATTTTTAATGGAGAAATATAAACATCATGGAAGGTTTAGCTGTGGAAAAATATTTATGTGTTTCATTATGCCCAGAAACCTCTAATATATTTTTATATTTACATTTAAGACAAAAATATAAAAAAAAGTCATTTTAAGATTGCTTTTAGGAACCAGTTTTCTCTTCCAACAAAATAGGTTGGCACCTATTTCCATTGGTAAGTGAAGTGAATTATATGTTGAAGTGAAAAATCTTGTTAAAATAAACAAGTACAAATAAGACTTACTCTTTCAGAGGTGAGCACACACAGCCGGAAGGATGATTATAACCACGGACATAATGTGAAGTTGGAGGATAGCCTGGGAAGTCCACACTGCTGGCTGTGGTTAAAAAGACTGAAATGAGACCGAGTTCACCAAGACAAAAATATTATTTCTAGAAGCGTAATTACAAAATATGACAGCACTTAACTTCAATGTTAGTCGTAGTTTCACAGTGTGCATTTATCTGTATTAGTGTTCCTAAAGATGCTTATAATCTTTTATACAAGCAAAACTCTTTAAAAGGATCATCATCTTATTTTCCGAGGCTTGAAACAAAAGAGTGTAGTGTGAATAGATTGTTTTGATGGGGTCAGGGACTCCTTGACTTTTGTTAATATTTTTTATTTTCTATGAAACTACTGACATACTTAGACACTTTAAATGCCTTCTTCTGTTAATTCCATGTACTAATTTCAAAGTTTAATTAAAAATTAGTAGAATTTGTCCTAGTAATTAATTATGCAGAATGATATGCATATTGCAGTGAAGGGAGGTGACCATGATTACATTTATGATAATTATATATTCTCTAAAAATAGTTTAAAAAATATAACTTTTGCTACAGCCAGAGAATATGGGTTTTCCTAAAGGATTTAAATGAAGCCTATTCAGAATGCACAGTAAGGCACTGGTGCAGGGCAGTGTGGCTGGGTGAATGCTCCTCTTTGAGCTCCTTTCTAAACACAGCCTGTGATGCTGGGATGACGGTACCGCCCAGAAGTAATACGCAAGTAGTTTTTCCATTTAAAATATGGAGACACACAGAAGATGACAATGCAGCCACTTCTGATGAGAACTGATGGTCTAAGATCAGAAAGAAGGAGAGGAGGACCTCCCCTATCAGTGGACTTGGGGAGGGGCATGCATGCAGAAAGGGGGGGAGGGTGGGACCGGGAGGGGAGGAGGGAGGGGCTTATGGGGGTACAAAATGAATAAAGTGTAATTAATAATAATAATAATAATAATATTTAAAAAAAGAAAAAAAGAATGTAAGACACACCTGACAGCGAAGGTGCAATTGTGTTTGGATAATTTAACACAAGGAATAAAGAAACGATGTTTCTGGCTTAAAAAGAAATATGGAGATATACTGATATTTCTTTTTTGAAAGCTGTTATAGTTTACAAAGAGCATAAGTCTTTTGTGAGGCATGACTTTGAAAAATCATAAAGACTGCAGTTTAAAATCCAGTTGCTTATTAGATATGGAAATCAATATTTTCACTGCTTAGTTTCTGGAAACTTCAGTTTTATCCTTAGTGAGATTATGAATATAAAATATGTAGCTCAGAGCAAGGTGCAGGGTAAGCTTTAAAAACACTGGGAAGAAAACTGATGATTCATTGAAAATTTATTCACTGGAAATTTCTTACAGAAAATTTAGCTTTGTTGCTGGACAAAATTAATGGCTATTTCTAGTTGCTGGTTTAAACTTAGCTGATGTTTTATTTATTATTTTTTAGATAGGATCTCAATAAATACTCCTGGTTGGCTTGGAACTCATTATGTATACAAGGCTGGCTTCAAATTCTTAGAGATCATCCTGCCTCTGCCTCCTAAGTGCTAGGATTAAAGGCATGAGCCATCATGTCCGACTTGATATATTTTCATTTATTATTTTACTATGCTAGGATCGAGCCTATGGCCCCATGTGGCTGTGTTAGTTAGCACTATGTCGCTAAGCTTAAACTACAGCTTCTATTTTACCTTCCCTCTGACTATTAATAAGGGCTAGAAATGGCTTGTTTCAAAATATGGAAAATTATAGATATACAATTCAGAAAAGGCAAAAATTTGTAGTCTGTGAAAACATTCTATATGTGGTAACTCTGAAAAAAACGATTAAAACATGTATACAGCAATAACATTTGTCTTTAGTAATATTCTGTAAGGACCCCAAGAACTGGCTTTGAGTCAGAAGGCTGAGAAGTTTTGTCTGTGAAACCAAACACTGGTGTCATCCCATAGTAAGTGTGGGGATGTAACAATACAGCTTCACTCTCTGTCCTTGAGTAGCTTACTGCAGAGGGAACATTGATAGAAATTACAGTATTAAATCAGGTTCAAGAGGAAAACTGGGATCTTCGCCATTACCCTGCCAAAGTACTTTCACCACATTCAATATTAAACTTTCCGAGTCCAAACCCTTATGGTGTGAAAGGGTTTTGATACAGTAACACAAGTTAGCACAAATGATAGATTTGCATTTTATAGAGTCACATTACTGCATGGCAGGGCAGTTATATCAAAACTTGCATTCCCTAGAAGAGATTATAAGCACATTCACGGAAAGACCCATCCAGCAGTATTCAGTATTTTCATATTTGATACTCAATAGTGTAGCAATTATTATTTCTGCCTATTTTAAACAAGCCAAGTGTAAAATTATATAGATATAGATAAATATGCTAGTTTTCTTTCATTGGATTGAAAATGTATACGTTGAAATTTTAGCTTACAGTAATCTATCTGTATTGAGTCCATAGTTCATACTGTAAAAGTCCAGGAGGAACTTAGCTAAACAGCACCTCATGGTTATGTAAAATACTTAGCCTGTGCACATGACAAGATTTTTGGTTGCACGGAATAAACAAACAAAGAAAATATAGTTTCGTCTAAACTATAAATACTATTAATGGCAAAAGAGTTACAATGACACTAAAACATGGGCAAAATGTTTCAACTTACTACAGATAATGTCCATATTGCCTTCATAGTGCTTGATGTACACTAAGTCGATAAAGTCTCTGGAGGAAATTGAGCCCATGGCAAAACTGTGTGTAATGGTGTGGCATACAAACGTGTCCTGCAACAAATCAAACCATAAAGATCGCAAGAATTACTGAATGATAATGATTCTTTGTTCCTTAAAGAACTTCATCATGGGTGCTTAGCCTGTCTTTGGAAAAATCATAACGTTTAAAAGAAGTGGTAAGGCTGTCTCACCAAATCAGTCTGCATTTTTAGTGTAAAAGAACATTCAAGTCATAATTATGAGAGCACACATTCAGTGAGGAATATGAAGATCATTCAGTCTGTTTGTAGATGGAGAAGGCAAGGCCCATCAGATGAAACCATATGTACAGCTAGAAAGAAGTTTAGAAGCCAGGTTCTCAGATTTCCATATAGCCCTATTTTGTCTGTCCGTCTATGTTGGGTAGGTAAAAATATCCTGAAAATACATTGATTTGACACTTTAGGCCTAAAAATTAAAGACCAGTGTTTACAATCCAGTGAAACTAGATTTAGAATGCTTCAGATAAGCTCTTCCAGAGTCCAACAGCCATCCTTACTAAAAGGACCCACAGTCACTACTTATCCCTGTCAGAGAATTTCAGCTTTCTGCTGGCCTGTGTTGCATGGCAGACTTCTTCTGGGGAGACATAAACACAGGTCTACTCACCCCAAAGAGGGAATCCATGACAGACCAATGTAAGGCTACACCAAAGTCCAATTTGGTGAACCAATGAGTTTTATTAGGGTTATTTACAGGAGGAGAAATGACTCAAAGACAGCTGCCACCAAGGCCCACCCCAGCATGGATAACAGGTCATAAAAACTAGAAACTTGGAACTGAACTCTGCACAGCCAGTCTGCAGGCAGCTCCTTTCCAGGTGGCTCTGTTTATCTAACTCTTCCAGGCAGCTCAGCTGTTCCTTGTTTCTTCCAGGCAATTGGGCAGTTCTCTGCTTCTCTCATGCTGCTTGGCTTCTCTGAGCAATTCTCAGCAGTCTTTACTGCTCACATACTCATGTGGAGGGAGAAGCCTACCGAATCTGGTCATTTTCAGGGACTTCCTGAAGCTACTTTGCATAGCTTCCTTCCTGTCTTAACAGAGCTTCTCTCAAGGACAGAATATTTCACTAGAACACTGATTTTTCACTTATTTGTAAACATCCTATCATAAAATAGCCTATTTACTTTCCCTTTTTACAGCCCATATCTCAAGAAATTTCTCTCCAAGATGGAAGGCTTTATCTTGGAGAAAACTGCTACATAACACCTTAGCACCACAAGCCTGCCTTCCAGAGTTTCTGGCTATTTAATCAATTTTCATGTTGCCCTGTGTAGTACTATGCCCTCTTCTCCTGATCCACGATTTATGATTTTACATTACTGTTTACCTCGTTTGCCCATTGTATTGCACATATGTCTCCAAGAATGACAATTCTTTCCTCATCCATGGTCTGCATAACAGGCAGTTAGCATTTCTGGAGGTGAAATATTATAAATATGGAAAGGAAAGTGAAATAATGACATCCTTCAGAGGTACTATGGAGTACTGACTGGACAGGGCAGGAACTAGATACGAAGTCTAACTCTTGCCACATATTTGCTGTAGAATTGTTGGGCAAGTCACACCACTTCAGTCTGCTTTTTAAGTTTTTTAGTGCCAAATTAGCATTCTTTCCCACTGACTTGCAATAACAGCAGACATTTCTGAACTGCCAATGGACCGGACCCTTCTCGTCAGTGCCACACAATGGTGAATGACAAAGTCTCATGTCTGTGTTTGCATTAGTGAAGCTCACTGTTTCTCTACCTCACTGCTCAAATATAAAAAAGATCATAGATGTGATTAACTTTTATTTTATGAGGATTGGAATGTAAGATTTTTTTTACAGATACAGTGAATCTCTCTTTCTTTCTAGGCTTAAGGTAAGTTTGAGAAAAACAGGTAAAATTACAGAGGCCTAATTATAATATGAGGAACACACATGAAAGACATTTGCTCTTTAGCTTGTTTTGAAGACTTAAAAAGCCAAAGACTCATGGATCTAGAAGTCTACAAATATTCAGTTATAAAAATCATGAAAATTAGTCCCCATTGCCATATAATACTTCTTTGAGCTAAAGCCCTAGCAACAGTTTTTCCTCTTTCTTTTGCAGTGCTGGGGATCAAACCCTGGTCCCAATGCTTGATGTGCAAGAGCTTTAACTCTGAGCTAGACATGCTCTCCATCCTAGAGTTTATTTCAGGAAGAGTCTCCGTATGAAGCTTAGACTGGCCTGCCCTCATCAAAAAACCCAGGCTGGCGTCCAGTGCAATTCCTCTGCCTGCCAGAAGACTTAGTGCTTTTTTGTTTGTTTGTTTTTAGATTACCTATGATAAATTCACCAATTTTAAGTACATAGTTCTACAGTTTTCTAGAATAACTTTAGTTGTCTAACCACAGTCCTGTTAGAACTTAATTTTGGTTATTTCTTCCTCTGTCAGGACATCCTGCTGAGTCCATCTCTGGACTGTATCTTCAATCCTTCCCTTCAATGACTTCCCTTGCTTCATACTGCTATCACCCTGGCGCAAACCACTAAGAGTTCACTTAGATTGCTCTGATAGCTTCCTAACTGTTCTCACCAATTTCTTCTTTTGTCCCCTTCAATTGTCACTGAAAATTTTGTTGGACATCCTGATCTGATTTAGCATCTATGGTCTTTCAGAACCTGCTCTTCTGGATTTTAATGCTTCCATTGAAATGTCAGCTGTCGTTCTCATATAACTATCTTTGCATGTAACCTCGATCTTTGAATGTTTTTTTTTTTTTCTGTGTATTTAGTGCTTTAACTACAATACTATAGGAAGAGTTTCTTTTCTGGTTCTACTTGGTGTTCCATATGCTTCTTGTTTCTGGATACTCATTTTTTTACTTAGATTTGGGAAATTTTCTTCTATGATTTCACTGAAAATATTTTTTAGGCCTTTGGTATGGAATTTTCCTACTGTACCCATAATTTGAAGCAGATCTCACATATTCCAATTACACTTACAATTATTTTTAACTGAGTGATTCAGTTCTTATCTATCTTATCATCAAGCTCTACTATTCTATCTTCTGTATGATACATTCTATTTTTTAATTGGGTTTTTCACTTGACTTTGAATCTTTATTTTCAGCTTCATATCTTCAAGGGTTTTCTTTAAAGACTTTAGAGCTTTATTGAAATTTGTTTTCATATCCTGCATTGTCTTCTTTATTTTATTCAGCTGTTTGTTTTCTTGAACTTCATTGAAGAGTTATTTTTGTCTTAAAATTCTTTCTGGTATTTGTATCCTTATTGAATTTTCTGAATGTATTCATAATTCTTAAATTTTTTGAAAATTTGTCTGTTATTTTCAATAGAAATCCATTACTATAGGATTAATGAGCTTTAGATCACTTTATTTTGATTTTCATGTTGCATGACTATTTATATTTTTATTGCACACATTTTAAAATATGAAACACTTCATGAGTTTGCATGTCATGCCTAAATAGAAGTCACAAAAATGTTCTCTGTATGGTTTTTTGTCTATGTGCTAGATAAAATGTTCATTAGTTCATACTTTGTCCTGAGTCTTTCAAAAATGTTTTGATTTGCCTTTTCTATTAGTGTGTGTGTATTTGTGTGTGTGTTTACAACAGTGCATGTGTGGAGGTTAGAGGACAACTTTGGTTGTCCATTCTTGCAATTCACTTTGATTGAGAAAAGACCTCTTTGCTGTTTGTTACTATATATTACAGGCTATCTGGTTTATGAGTTCTGGGACTTCTCCTGTTTCAGCTTCTCATCTCCCCCCATGGGAGTACAGAGGTTAATTGCTACTGTAACCATCTTTTTTTTTTTTTTTAACATGGGTTCTTGGGATTCCAATTTAGGTCCTTATACTTGCATCACCCATTAGGCTAACTCACCAGTCCCTGTCTTTAATATTTATCAGCACCTGCTGTTTCTTATATCCTTTTGGTACGTATCGACATGTACATGTGTTCTAATGCCATATCTACAAACTAAACTTAATCATGACACTTGTAGTCACAGCACTGAGGAGGAAGGAGAATGCTCAGTTCTAGGCTAGCCAGTGTAGGAAGCACTGGGATCATAAAGGCTTATTAAAAACCAGAGCAGCAGCAATAAAACCCCAAACCCATGGCTGGAGAGATGGCTCAGTGGATAATAGCATACGCTGCTCTTGCAGGAGACACAGCCTAGTTTGGTTCCCAGCACCCACATCAGACAGCTCACAACCTCTAGTAACTACAGCTTCATGAGGGTTCTACGGCTCTAGCCTCCTTGCGCACCTGCACTCATGTGTATATACCATTCCCCCAAAATAACTCTTGACTCCTTATCAACAAGGCCTGTTAAAACTTGTTTCCATATAACAGAGGTGGATAGCTAAGTTTAATTCCCTCATAGCAAAAAGTACATATCAACAAGAGACTGCCATATCAGGAATGTGATAATTATTTACAAACTGAAGAAAACTAATTGGAATTAAATTCTGGACTAATAAAAAAATCAATATTTTAAGGCCTTTATAACATTTCAGCTAGGTGTAGTGGTCCATGCTTATAATTCTATTACTCAGAAAACAGAGGTTGAGAACAGCCTAGGCAGGATCTGTTCTCCCATAGATTTTAATAGCATTAGTGGTATATGGGTATTGGTGTGTTGGGGCAGTATTCAGAGTTATGGAGTTTACTTCGCATGCAAATGACCCTTACTTCAATCCCCAACCCTGTAATTCAAAAAAGCAGCTAATTTGTGTCTATAAGACATATATTCAATACTACACAATTTAAATAAACTTAACTCATTAAAATATTAAAAATTAAAATTATAGTAATACAGTAAACAATTATTTACTATTAAATATCAAATTACCGAGTCAATCTTGTGTATCACATTGTACCGTTTCAACGATTTATCCCATGTCACTCTGTTTTCAGGCTGATAGAGGAAGTCAGAGAGCTTAGCTGTTGATTCTGGAATTATTCCTTCAATACGGTATCTATGGTTGCCAAAGTTAAGAAAACTTCAAAAATTTAGCTTAAGCTGAAGATACACTACTATTGAAATTAAAGATACCAAACAAACAATTGTGAGATTTTGAGTGTCCCATACCTAAAACACTTGTGACCTAAGATGCTTTTTATTTTGAATTCTTTTTAGTATTTGCATATATATGATGAAATATGTTGGGGATGAGATCTAAGTTTAAGCACAAAATTCATTTATACTTGAGATTCTTTAGATACGTGTTCTAAAGGGAAATGTATACAGTATTTTAAATAATTTTATTCACTATAATATACTGAGTAGGAAACTAGCATAGCTTACTTAAATACGCACTGAAGCAATTATTTCAAAATTTACTTTCCTAGCCAGGCATGGTGGCACAGGCCTACAATCTCAGCTACTTGGTGTGCGTGTGCGTGTGTGTGTGTGAGGGTGAGCAGGCAGGAGAATCATTACATATAATTTCTGACTAGGCCAGAAGGTGAGTTCAAGACCAGACTGGGCAACTTAGTGAAACACTGTCTCAAAAAGTACAAAGATGGTTTGCGGATACTGCTCACTGGTAGAGAACTTCCCCGGCATGTGTGGGTCCTGTGTTGTGATCACGTCTTTATTGACAATGGCTTTCAAACCTTGTGTGATATTGTTATCCAGCAAAAAATTAAGGTGTTGGGGAAAAACTTGATCCAAATCCACTATTAGTAGAAGGTTTCCAGCTGGAAGTGAAATCAGAAGAGTATGACTACGCCCTTACTCTTTCATCCATTTTTTTCAAAGACAGAGAATAGATGTTTTGAGGCAAAACTGTTTAAAAAATGTATTTATTCACTTTAGCTTCCCCATCCTCTGTTTCCAATCCTACCCTCCCTCCCCTATTCTTCAGAAAAGGGAGATGGAGAGGCAAAACTTTTAAGTTTCTAAAATATTAAATTTTTTTTTCAGAAAACATAAGAGCTAAAATGCCATGATTAGTTAGAGAGAAAAGTAGTATGGGAAATTTTTGCCCTCAACTTGTGCTTTCTTTTACTGAGACAGGGTGAAGCTATGTAACCCAGGCTGTGGGACTTTTCATAAAGCTCAGGGTGATCTCAGCATGAGTGCCTCCTTCCTCAGTTTCCTGAATGCTAAAGCCAGAATTACAGGCAGGGCCCTTGCATCTGACTGGCTTCTATGATTTGCTCAGACAAGGAATTCTTTTTTTTTTTTTTTTAATTTTTTTTTTAATTTTTATTTTATATAAATTGGTGTGAGGGTGTCAGACACTTGGAACTGGAGTTACAGACAGTTGTGAGCTGCCATGTGGGTGCTGGGAATTGAACCCAGAACCTATCTGAAGAGCAGACAGTGCTCTTAACCACTGAGCCATCTCAGCTCAATGATGTGCTTTCTTCTGATGCATAGAACAAAGCACTCAAAGCCACAAGTCATTTTGGGACAGTAAATTATTTAAAAAACCACAAATGCTGATAAAATATATAGATCACATCTTATAATGCAGGTGTATTTAACACTGAACATTTATTAAATAAATATTTATCATGTGTCTATGTGGCAGGCAGTGTTGTGGTGTAGGGTTACCACAAAACACAAGGGTGACTTATTTCTAGGCTCATTCCTATTCAAGTTCCTGCGCACACCACTTCATATTCTAGTAAGACATTATAATGAATTAAAAATAAATCCCATAGGTGTCCCCTTTGAAGGTTACAACAGCCAAATATTAAGCAGGGACTGAGTGTGCACATGTGGGACATTTGGCCAGGAAGGCAGGAAGGTCATTCTGAAGAGGACATAGTGAAACTGAAACCCTGGCAATCAAAACTGACATTAGCTTTGGAGGGATATGATGTGGGATGTATGCAAAGCCAAACAAACAAACAAAAGCTCCCAAACAAAAACAAAAAACCTAAAACTCTTAAGGCTCTACGGCTCAGTGCAGGAATCTGACAACAGATCTCTTGTAAATGTAACAGAGGGAGAAAGAGAAGGCTGTGATAGGAAAGGAGGGACTGAGAGTGACTTGGAGGTGGAGATGAAATGTTTGCATCTTATTTAGATGTGAAAGACATTCTTTAAAGGATTTTATACAGGGAAGTGGCCAAAACTAAACTGTATTTTGAGACTCTGCCTTGGGCACTGGGTGAACAATGGGATGTATGAGCATGAACAGAGAGTCTTTCACGTAATCCCCTGAGAGATGGTGGCAGCAGCAGCAGGGTACCATCATACCATTGAGAAGCTAATCAAAACCTTCTCTCTCGGACACTTCTCTAGTCTGTTTTAAAAATACATTCTTACTAAAACCAAAGTTAGTGAGTTAGCTTTGAACTCGTGACTGCAGAGGAAGGTGCTGTAAGGACTCCAGTGTTCTTTCGGAACCCAAATCTAGCTGAAGTGTCTCCAGCAGAACTCAGGTAAGTGACAGAGGATGGGTATGCAAAGCTGAAATTGAGCTGCTCATTATTATCCTCCTCTCCTTCTACAGTCCGGGCAGTGATCTATCCCAGGCACCATGGGAACACCAAGTGCTGGAGGAGACTAGAGATTAGCCCCTGAAATTCACTAGCAAATGTGAATGGCTCAGCAACACAGGGTCCCTGCTCCAAAGAACAATACAGAGAATTATTAGTCAGTCAAGTTGGTTGTTTGAAAAGAATAAAATATACCAACTAACTGAGAGTAATAAAATCTAAATTGATAAAATTAATAAAAATATACACTTGAAAAGGGACAGCTTTTTAGATAAATGGTGCTCAAAAAGCAGAATATTAACCTGCAGAAGAATGAAATGAAGTCTGTATGTCTTACCTTGCACAAAAATCAATTCAAACTCGATCAAAATCCTTAATGTAAGACACAAAAATCTGAAACCGGAAAAGGAAAACACTCAAGTACACAAGCATAGGAAACAAATATCCGAACAGAACTCCGACAGCACGGCAAACAGCCATAAGAATCGACACGGAATTAAAAAGCTCCTGCACAGCAAAGAAAACCCACTGAGTGAGCAGCAGCCCACAGAGTGAGAGGATCATGGTCAGCTATATTTCAATCCCTTAGTACCTATACTCTATAAAAACTGCAAAACTTAAACACCAAAGCCTTCCAAGCCAATCAATAAATGGGCCAATAAACTGAGCAGGAATCTTTCACAAGAAAAGAACACACATATACAACAAAAAGGTTAGTTTGGAACTAAGCAATGCTTGGGGCAGCCTGCAGACACCAGCTGCTCCTAACCCTGTCAGAACGAGGCTGGGCTTTGTCCACCAGCATTTCATATCTTTAATTCCACCTTGCCCTTCCTCCTTCCTCCTGCATTCCTTGGCTATGTCAGCTCAGCAAGCCCTGTAGCAGAACAATAGTGCCACCTATTGTTTGAACCTTTTCCTATCCCTTATTTATTTTATTTATTTATTTTTAATTTCTTTCCCTTTTTCTGTATTCATTCTTGTTATTGTTACTTTTCCTCAAGTCTAGAAGATGGCCTGGTGTATGATATCTGGTGAAATATTCCTCAGAAACCTATACCATTTCCCCTTTACTGCAATTCTTTCCACTCCCGCATGTGGCCCTCTTCTCAACTTCCCATCTAACAACCTAATACCCATCACTAGTTTCATTGTGAATGATTACATCTTTTTTCTTTCCTTTTCCATTCATACTAACAATATTAGTATGCATAGTACTATGAGGGTCCCTTGACTCCTCAAATTAACATAAAACAAGGGTTGTTTTGCTAGTTTATTTTTAGAGTGGGTTAACTACTGGATAGTGACTTGGGCTACAAATAATACTTAACCCACAAGGGTAGAATATAGATAGAACCCTGTGCTGGAGCACCAGTGTAACAGATTAAAATATCATCATAACTGTACTGCAATCTAGTCTCCCCCAAACACTTCATTGACTAGATATACAGACAGAAGAAAGGCAGCTTAAGTTAGGAGAACAACAATAAAAATCTTAACCAACGCGGTAATTCAAATAAGTAGATCCCAGTATGAGAACATAACACAAAGCCAAGACAACTTGACTCTGCCAAACATTACCAATCCCATAGTAATGATCCCCAATTAAAATTACTTCTACAAAATTCCAGACACAGAATTTAAAAGAATGAATATAAATATGGTAAAACAACTCAAAGAGGACTCCCATATTTACCAAGAGGATATTGATAACTAAATGAAATAATGAAATCAATTCATAATATGAAAAAAAGGATTTAATGAAGAGATAGAAATTCTGAGGAAAACTAGAATCAAAATGATGATGGAATGAAACATAATTCGTAAATAAAAAGTATAACTGAAAGCTTTGGCAACACGTGGAAGAGAAAGTATCAGGATATGAAGATAAAAGACAGGAATTGAATCATTCACTCAGGGACAATGATAAAAGTTTTAAAAAATGCATAAATGGATTATACAAGTACTTTGGGAAATCATGAAAAGGCAAGCCTATGAATTAAAGGCATACATGAAGATGAATTTCAGGCAAAAGGCATACAAAATATTTTTAATAAAACATACCAGAAAGTTCTGCAAATATAGGGAAACAGAACCTATTCAAATACAAGAGGCAGACAGAACACAAAACAGAACCAAAGAAGAAACTTCCTTATTCATTACATTCATTATTAAAACACCAAATTTACAGAACAAAGGAAGTATATCAGAAGTTGTGAAAGAGAAAGGCCAAGTCACAGACAGAAGCAGGCCATCAGAACAGCTGCTGGCTTTTCAGTTCAAAAAAACGAAAATAAGAAGTGATGGGACTGAAGACTTTCAGACTCTGAAAGATCACAATTGTCAACCTAGTCTAATATACCCATTCAAACTCTCAGTCATAATTGAATGTGAAAGAAAAATAATTTTCATGACAAAAGCCGGCTAAAAGAATGGTGTTGCCCACAGTAGCCTGAATCTTCCTGTATCAAGTTATCAAGACAATCCCTCACCGACAGACCTATGGACACCCTGATTCAGCCCCTCATTGAAACTCTCATCCTAAGTGATTCTAGATTGTGTCAAGCTGACCATTTCTCTGGTATATTTGGGCTTAATATATTTATACCTTCCCTGCCCTCAGTTTAGTTTTCGAAAATACCGCTGTTAGGGTCATCTATTGCTTAGCTAAAAAAAAAAAAATTACTTTTGTGATACTCATTAAAATGAATGAGAGAAAATGGCATGCAGGAGGCTAAAGCAGAAAAAGCTGAGTTAGTGAGACCTATCTCCAGATCGAAACAACAACAAACCCACAAACATTGGTGTACAAATACAGGTAAACTTTAGTCAGATGAAAGACAAAAAAAAACAACCACAAAAATCCCACCAAAAGCCAAATGCACAAAGACAGAATATCAAAGGAATGGTTTCTAAAAATTTGCTCATGATTTTCGTAATAACCAAGTGATATGAAGGAACAGATGTGATACTAGAAGCTATAAACGAACACCTAAAAAAAAAAAGGAACTTTAAAATATGTCAACACATTCATCTTTAGTGTACTTGTGTTTGAAACAGTTCGATCCTTAAAAATATGCTTAAAACAATTTATAGGGAAAAATATCTGCACTTATGAATAAGAAAGAAAAAGACAGGGATTTTGGGGATTTGAGAAAAAAAATGAACGATTCCACATATCAGAAGAATGCTACTGTTGGTAAGAAATGCAGAACTTTTCTATCCTAGTAAGTTAGAAGGAATTCCTTGTGCAAGTTTTCTGGTGTTAGGGAGGGATCTCAGGGCCTCCTGCATGCCAGTGAAAAGCTCTGCATTACACAAGTAATCTGCAGAAGGGATTTACTTTGTGACTGTATTCATGTCTGGATATTGTTGCACAATAGGTGATTACTGTACTTCATGACAATCACATGACTTCACACATCATCTCCTGGTGAGTGTTAAATAGTTTGTTCTAGTTGATAAAGTAGTGTTGACTTCCAGATTTGGTAATGCCACTGAACTTAAAACAATGACTGTAAATGGGAAAATGTACTCACAGATTTCCGAGGAATAGTCTAGAGGTCTTGCTGGAAACAGTTACCTTTTTCTCAAAGGGGAATAAAATCCAGAAATAAATTAACTGTCAGATATAGAAAACAAAACAAGCCGAAAGCAAAACAAAGGTAAAACTATGATTTTCTGGCTTACAAAAGAATACATTATTTTAAAATGTCTTTACAGTAATCTTTCATTGAGAAAAATACTTGTTTTCTTACTGAGATTTTAACCACTTGCCAACCAGATATATCTTGACTGTAAGCTAAAAGTTCTTCCGCAGTTCGTTGGGCAATTGTCTTATAGTCCATCTACCTGTGAAAATTTAAAAACAAATATGGTAAGAATATAATCATATAAACAAAAAATTCCATGTTGCAAAAGCTGGTCTTGAACTCATGAACTGAAGCCACTCTTCTGTCCAGTCTCTCAAGTTGTTGATAATATAAGTATGCTATATTACATTTTAATACCATTTTTTACAATATCTGTCATTTAGCAATGCACAATAATTATTTGATTATGTGCATTCACTTCTTTCTTCAAATGAGAAAATGTGCAAACGTGTAAAAACCAGACTTTGAGATCAGGGACCTTGGTGAAATCTGATCCCTGCCCTGTGTGAAGCATAGTATGGGATATTTCTTCTTTCTTCTTGATGTAAAATTAGGACTTAAGTAACACCTTATAGAGTCAAAGTGTTAAATAAAGCCCTAAATGTGTTAAATGAGTGCCTGGAGCATGGCATGTTCTAGTCTTTCAAAAAACCATTATTTCTAAAGAGCTTATTTGCCTTAGGATGTGGCATTCTCTGTTCATGATGTGTTCTTGGCATTAACCGTGGTAAAGTGAGTGGCAGAGGCCATATATGGCCTCATCCAGCATGCTCGTATAAACTATCTTCTTGTCCACCTAGCCACAATCATATCAATCTTCTGGATATTCCTCAAATACAACCCCAAAATGCCCTTTCTCAAGGTCTTTGTCCTTACTCTTCTCTCTCCTTGGAAAATTCACGAGATTATGCTTTCTTGGATCCTCTGCTTGAATGTCAACCATTCAGACAAGATCATATTCAAAGCGATTCAGTTTCAATGCAGTTGCTAAATCTCTCCTTGCTGGTTAAGTACTGCAAATGACTGTTTTCATTCCTCCACATTCATAGACTGAAACTGGCTGGTGATTAGGTCCTGAGGGCAGAGACTTCATGGATAAGACTTAGTGTCTTTATAAGAGACTGCAGTCAGCTTTTTCTTGTCCCTTCTGCCCTGAGGACATAGCTCTAAGGTAGCAGTCTGCATTCCAGAAAAATGTCCTGATCAGTAAGCAAGCATTATGGCACACCTGTCAGATGTATCGCCTCCACAGGTGTGAGAAATGAACTTTTGCTCTTTATAAGCCACCTAGTCTATGGTAATATGTAGTAGCCAACAAAGGGACTAAGTACAGAAGTCAAGTATAGCAAAATCAATTAAGGCACTGTGTCTGTTGGGAATGTGTTCAGCAAGCTGTGGTATTGTGGTCCTTTAGCCCATCAACTAGTTTTCAGTTAGGGGAAGCTGGAGAGATGTTCCAAGGAACATGGTAACATCTAGATTCAAATCCTGACTCTGACACTTAAAGCTGGTAAAATCCTTAGGCTCTGAACTTCAACTTCCTACATTTATAGAAAGGACATAATGATGCCCACGGGGTCCACTAAGGTTAAGAGAATTATTATATGCAAAAATACTTGAAGCAGTGATGGGTTTTGTTCAAGGTGGTCCATAGGTTAGAATAACTGCCTCCAAGCACCTTAACACATCTAGACCAGGCTGGCCTCAAACTCATAGGGATCTGCCGGCTGCTGCTGGGATTACAGGCGTTTACCACCACACCTGGCTCACATACACCTCCCTCCCCCCTGAAACAGGGTTTCTCTGTGTAGCCTTGGCTTGGCTGTCCTGGACGTTGCTTTGTAGACCAAAGCTGGCCTGGAATTCACAGAGATTTTGCCTGCTGGGATTACAGGTGTGCACCACCATGCCGGGTCTCTTTTCTTTTCTTTCTTTCTTTCTTTCTTTCTTTCTTTCTTTCTTTCTTTCTTTCTTTCTTTCCTTTTTTTTTTTAAATTAGGCTGCATGTATGTCTGTGTGTGAAAATGTTACATCCTGAAGTCACAGACAGTTGTGAGCTGCCATGTGGGTGCTGGGAATTGAACCCCAGTCCTTTGGAAGAGCAGTCAGTGCTCGTAACCACTGAGCCACCTCGGTAGCTCTCTGGCTCATATCTTAAGGCATACACATTTGGAAGATCCTTTGCTCTCACCTAACACTCTTTAGGTTGGATCATAAATTTACATTCTCTTGCTTGGTTTCCCAGAAAGGCACAGTAGCAAGGTGGTATCTTTTACATTAGAAAAACCACAGTATGTTATGGAATCCTCAACTCCTCTTTCTATAAAAGTCCTGGTTTCTTTACCTTTCTCAAATCTAGTCCAGAATTTCAGTTCCCATTGATACTGTTCTCCAAATCCTCGTGGAGATCTCCATATCTGTTAACCTGTAAGGGAATAAAATAGAGGTAGAATATTTTGATCCACAACTTAGGTCAACATATTTTATAAATTCTCCACAATGTCCTCCGTTAACACTTTATATCTTGATTATAAAACACATTCCTTAGGTAGAAATAATATGTATGTCTTACTTGTCTATTGTTGTGATAAAAGACTGTGACCAAAGCCACTTATAAAAGAAAGCGTTTAATTTGGGGTATATATTTTCAGGGGATTAAACTCCATCATGACAGAGCAAAGGCATCATGGCAAGAACACTGAGAGCATGTATCTTGATTTGCAGGTTGGAGGCAGACAGAGACACAAACACTGGAAATGACACAAGCCTTGTGAGGCCTCAAAACCTGCTTCCCAGTGACACACCTCCTCAATCATGGCCATACTTCCTAATCCTTCCCAAATAGTTCTACCTACTGGAGAGCAAGTTTTCAAACATGTAAACCTATAGGGCCATTCTTATTCAAACTACTATGTAGTTTGAAAAAAAAAATTTTTTTTTAGTCATGCCATAAACATTGTTTCACTGGTCCCCAATATAGGCTTCTCCTAACACAAAACAGAGGTTTTTACTTGTTAGTGATTTGCCTAACATTGACCTAGAAATTTCACAATTAATGGCATTTATCACTAGCTGTAAGTTTCTGTATGGGCTGTACTATTATTTTAGAATCATTTCACATTTCCGTAATAGATATGTTTAATGAACTATTGAACAGCATTTTAAAGCATCTGCCAATTTTATTTGCTAAAGAGAAATAGGAAGGTATAGTTTAGGAAGGTAGAGAGGGTAGAGCTACAGGGAGACAGCTAAGGTACAGTTCTATTACCTGATGATGTAACACTGGATGAACTAGAACGTATCCAGGCGGAAGTCAAGGAGCCTTCAGCCACAGAGTCAGTGGAACACAAACATAGACCAATGTTGAGCTAGCATCTTTTCTGCTATAGCACTTAGTTGCAATTTTAGTCTTTCCACCTCATATCCTGTCCCAGCCTAGTAGACAGGTTCACAGAAGTTAGTGATCTTTATGTTTGTATGATTCCCTCTTTCCGTGCTGCCCGACTGGGTCCCTAATCCGTGTTGGGTCACTGCCATTCTTTCCTGTGAATAAAGGACCCCTAAGAGCTTGTTAAATCCCATCACAGGTTCGTCCGACCTGAATCTGCAGCGTTTTTGAGCTGGATGGAAGCCCAGGTGGGTCAGGGCTTTGGAGTGGGGAGGGGATGTCGCCGAGGAAGGTCGTGGTGGGCAGAGTGCCCTTGGCTGAACTGGTACCTGTGTTGGGGGATGCTACGCTGAAGCCGCGCAAAGCTCACTGAGAAAGACTGGTGCACAGAGCAAGGACCCACTAACTACTAAGGCCGCCTTCAGGTCTCTCCTGCACACTGCCCTCCCACCGCCCAGGCAGCCCAGTGTGCCCTTGGCGCCGAGTGGAGAAGAGCAGTGTCCGGGACGAGGGTGTCAAGGGACATGGATGGAGTCTAGAACCTTCCCAGCTGACAAGACAAGGGAGAATCCCCACCTCCCCCGAGGGATGGCGACCTAACGCCCCTCTACGCCCTTTGACCTCTGAACCCTCCGGGGGGGCCCCCGAGCCTCCCAGACACCCGCGCCTCCCTCCGGCTGGCGCTACGCATGCGCCCCGCGCGCCGGCGCCATGTTAGGTCGGTTTGAACGCGAGCGCGGGCGGCGGACGAAGGAGCGGTCCTGAGGGCGGTGTCGCGCTCGGCGATGCTTTGAGAGCCTGGGAGCGTCCCGGTGAGTTATCGCGGGGAGCGGCAGGAGGAGGGCGCCCTTAATGTGGGTCCCTTCTCGGCGGGGCGGCGGGGCGGGGGCGGAGGACGCTCCCGGGGAGGACTCCATCCAGGGGTGTCCCGGGTGCGGCCTCTCCAGGGGGTGCCGACGAGGCTCGGGAGGGGCCCGGAGGGGCCGTTGCCCCGCAGCGTGGCTGCGGGCTCGGCTGCAGCAGGGGGAGGGAACTCAAGGCCACGTCTGTGTCCGCGACGCCCAGGGACGCTGCCGCCCCGGAGCCGGACAGCCGCACCCGGCGCACACGGACGGGCGGGCGCCGCGCTGCAGGAGAAACCAGCCTTGGCTTCCGTCCGGGATTTGGAACTCTGAGAGCGGCGGTTTCCAAGAGTTGTTCTCGACCTCCGGGGCCATCGTCTGTCTCCCTTGCACACTTTCGGCCGACAGTCTGGGTTTTGAATCGGGGAAGTTGGAACTTCCCACCCTCATTTTACCGTTCAACACGATGGATTTAGTTTTGGGGATTCAAACCGAAGCACTTGCAAAGGGAATGGTAAGATATGTGAAGTTTACTTAAAAATAAATGAGTAAATATATGTGTGTATACATACATGCACACACACATACAAAAATATGCATAAACATATACATGTATATATGTATACATATAAACACTTGTATGTGTATGTATGTATTTGGGAACAATCTTGTGACCGAAATGGGAGGGAGGGTCTCATAAACAGTTAAAGCATGTTGATAATTATTGTTGGAAGCAAGGTAGTAGGTGCGCAGGGGTTTCTTAAGCTTATTCTACTTTTGCTCCAACTTGAAACTTTCCATAAGAATTTCGGATTTTCTTTTTCGTTATGTAAATGGAGGTAAGTCTCAGCCACTCACTAAGAATTAAATCCAACAGCTTTCCCTTTGAAGGTTTTGCTTGTATTTAAGGTTTTGTGAAGTAGACTTGGCAGCCTACTTTTTGTTCTGATAAGATGCAATCCAAGCGGATTTAGTGGAACTAATTTAAAGATTCCTAAGAAGGATAAAGAAAGCACACAATTGATTTTGTCTAGTTATTCTTTAGAGAAAAACCAATAGCAGAGCATCCAGGAATGGAGAACCGCGTTCGCATATTCTGCTATCTCTATGTTCTCCCTTAGCCACCAAGTGCTGGGAATACAGGCAGGAGCTATTACAGCTCTGTCGCTTCTTTAATTAGCAAATTTGTTATATTTTAGAGTCAAATTTGACATTGCTAATATTACATTAGACAAAATTTTCCAAAATTATAGCCGGAAATGAGCATATTGACATTGTAGCAGCTTTGTAGCATGAGTCACATCCTATGTCTGGTTTTTTTTTTTTTGTTGTTGTTGTTCAGAAACTCTTTTAATTCTCAATGACTATCATGCCCTGGTTGATACCTATCCTGTTAATTCTTTTTAACAAATGTAGATGCTATTGCAATGCCATGAGGTCTCTCAATTTTACTAGGAAAACAGAAAGTTGAATGCATTAAACAAATGTGTGGATCAGTTAAGCTTTACTAAGTAGGTGAGCTGAATCTATTTAAGAATTAAAAATAAAGAAGCTGTAGGAATGCAGTGGTTAAGAGCACTGGCTGCTTTGCTAGAGGACCCAGGTCTGACTCCTGGCACCCACATGTTGACTTAACACTTGTCTGTAATTGCCATTCCAGGGGATCTGCGGACCTCTTTGATACACAGACATGTATGTAGGCACAACACGAACACACATAAATAAGATTAAATATTAAAAAGAATGACTGATATATGAAAAATGAAGGTCAAGAGAAGCTTCTTTTTATTTTTGGGGAGATTGCAAACTGATAAAGGTTTATTAGTCAAAATTTATAAATAGTTCGTTAATCATTTCCCCAAAGGTACATAATCCAGTTAATCAAGAATTTGGTTAGACATTCCTTGGATGATTATTAACAAATTACTAAAATAACGAGCAATATTATGAGTCACTAAAAAATGCATATTAAAACCAGAAAGTGCTATTTCATATCCAACAGAATAGTCATAATTTTCTTTGGCTTCTTGCTAAGTAAATGCTTTACCTCTGAGCTGCACCAAAAGACAATAATACTTTAAGCCTGAAAATAATAAGTGTCAACATCGGAAACTTTGTTTGCTGGTGAAGAAAATATAAAATGAGCCTGCCATTCGAAAAAAAAAAAATGCTTTTTGTTTCCTCAATTCATGAAAACATGAAGCTATCATGTGAGCTCGTACTTATTCTATGTATACCCACAAAGAAGCGAAAATAGCTATATAAACAAAAGCATGTAAATAGTTATATAGGCACTATTTGTAATAGCAAAAAAAAAAAAACTGAAGGCAATCTCTGTTTTATACTTCTTTAAAAATATGGACAGAATACAGGGGTATTACTCGTTCATTAGAAGTATACATGGCTAAGTGCTAATATAGATGAACCTCTAGAACAATGCTAAGTGTAGGAAGTCTAAAGAAACAAAAAGTCTTGACTGGAATGATTCCATTTACATGACACACCCCAAAAAAAAGAAAACCTGAAGACATAAAGATTAGTGACTGCTAAATTCTGTAGGAGTGCTATGATTTGAATATCCATGTACTGTTAAAATTCAGATGCTAAAATCCTAACTCCAAAAAAAAAAATTGTATTAGGGAGTGCCTTTGAGGAGTTTAGATTGTGAGTGGAATAAGCAACCATATGAAACAGACTCAAAGAACAAGTAATTAGCCCTTTCTTCAGGAGAGGTCACAACCAAGAAGTGTGTGTGATGCGTGAGCAACTTGCCCAGACAAACTGAACCTGCAAGCACTTTGGTTCTAATATTTGGGAAATAAATTTTATTGGTTATAAGCCACCTAACTCATACTACAAGGATCTAAAGCAAAAGAGACATTGGAGGGTTGAAAGGAGTGTCCTTCATTGGGGTATAGTGTTTAAATGTTATTGATATTTTTGAAAGAACAATTGTTACTGAGGTAAAATGATTATAAAATTAAATTAATAATTTTAAATTGTAAACTTAAGTGCTATTAATACCTACAACTCTGTACAACTATTATCTCCAATTCTGAAAGAGGAGATTCTTAACACTTTTTTAAAAGGCTGATAGTTAGCCCATTCTGAAATAAAATTTGTAGTTTATTGTTTGTTTATAGATCCTAGTTATTTTATTTTCTGAAATTATTTTTTTTGGGGGAAGTATTGGGTAAAGTTGCATATTGGTGCTCGGAGTATTGAAAGAAGACATTATTCCTTGTTGCTTCTTGTTTCTAATGTTTTATTGGATGGCTTAAAAATGAATTGACTGCCAGCTACCTGTAATTCATGGCAGTAGGCTTATAAGACTTAAAAAATACTATCTTTTGGAAACTGTTCGGTATTGTGAGCCACCATGTGGTTGCTGGGAATTGAACTCAGCACCTATGGAAGAGCAGACAGTGCTCTTATCTGCTGAGCCATCTCTCCAGCCCCAGAAACTGTTAGGGATTGTGATGTCATAGAATATATTAGCAAAATAAAGAAGTACTGTCCGTAGTAGTGTTTAGGACTTTTCACAAAGTAAGTACCTTTTCTTTGGTTTTCTATGTATATTCACAGTTTTTGTATGTGTATTCCCAAGCACGTGCTCAAATTTTTTTCTAAATCATTTATGACATGACTAACCGTAAAGCTAATAGAAAACTTTCAGTGCTTAAATAGGGATATATATTGTCAACAACTAATGAAAAACTTCGTTTCCTATTTAAGAGTTTTTATTGTTTGTAGTCATTATTCATTGGCACTGTCACTTTTTTTTATTGAAGTATGTAAAGGAAATGAACAACTCATTTTGAGAAAGCCATGGCAAAATCAAACACAAAGCGCAGAGTTTGTTCTCGGGAATCATCAGTATCTTCTCTCCTGGCAAGCGGCAGCCCAAGTGATAGTTCCTTCAACTCTGACAGCTCTTTTTGCTACAAGGACAGACTGTACCGCTCTGCTTCTGAGGCTCTGCAGGCCTATATCGACGATTTTGATCTAAGCAGGGAACACTCTGGCCCATACACTGGCAACGCAAACCTTGATGGCGAGTCCAGTAATATGCTGCGATTTCCCAGTGGTGTGTGGAAACCAAACAATGGTAATGCTTTGCTTTTCATGCTTTTTTGCATTCTTTTATGTCTAGTGATTTAACATAGTTGAGAGATGTGCCTTTGAAAGTTGGACATTTTTTTTATTTTGGAATAAAATTAACTTCTATTACTAAAATCTTGATATTTTGTAAAATGGATTGTATCCCTGTCATGATCCCAAGTGATTTTATTTTTTTGTTTTTTAATTTTTTTCTGAGACAGGATTTCTCTATGTAGCCTTGGCTGTCCTGAGCTCACTTTGTAGACCAGGCTGGTCTTGAAGTCACAAATAACCACCTGCCTCTGCCTCCTTGAGTATTGGGATTAAAGGAGTGCGCCTCCACACTCCCCGAGTGCTAGGATTAAAGGAGTATGCTTAGATGCTCAGTTCCAAGGAGCTTTTTACTAAGATCTCTTGTCTTTGGAGACAACACAGAGATATAATTAGCAGTAGTAAGTGGCTGGTCCTAAACTGGTAAGTCAGTTTTCTGTGGCACGATGGAAAGAGTATTGATATTGTTATCCTAACAAGCTGTTAAATAATTCCAATCTTTCTGAGTTTATATTTGCTCAATTTCAGCTGGTAAGATAGGAATATTATTATTTTATCATCTGTAGTCTGTGGAACAGTAATCACAATATACTAAGAGTTTGTTCTTAATAAAGCTTTCATGAAGACAGGTCTGGAAAAATGAGTTGTTGATAAACTCTCTACTAAACAGCAGCAGAAGAACGTAGAGCGGGAAGGATGTGGGTGATTTATTCTAGAAGATAATTAGATAGCGTTCTCTGTGGCTGTGCCATCCCAGGGTGCATAGGAAAGCAAATTGTTTTTCATCCTGGTTTAACAGTACACATTTCCCTGTGCCGTAGCCAATTTTCAGTAATCAACTTACTGTGATTGTATTTATGTAAAAGGAATGTCTGCATTCAGAAAGTAGAAGAAACAGTAAGTTAGAATACATACAAATTTACTGATTGGCAATATAAATATATAAATTAAAAGCTGAAGAGCTATGAAAAAAGCATGTGTTATGTTTACCAATTTATGTTTTAATATTTCTATTCAAAACTAATGATAAAGGGAAAACACCAAAAATCTTCTTAAATTTTTAATTCTCATTTACTGTCAACTAGTCTGTTTATATACGCTAAAACAAATAGAACTATGCTTCATTTTTCAGCTTTTGAAGATCTTGATCACAGACTGCATTTTAATTCCTTACACTATAGAAGAGAGACTGTTAATGACATGGACTCCATTAGCCTGACAACGGATGATTTGTTAAGACTTCCAGCGGATGGATCCTTATCCTTCACTCATGTTATACCTAGTCACCTTGCAAGCAGGAAAAACAAGAAATACAGTGGAAGATGGGATTCACTGGACATTAAAAAGAATCCAAATTTTCATGTAGACTCTACTTTCAAGAGCAAGGATAATGTAGTTACTCCTACTATATATGCAAATGTAAATGGAAAGAAATGTGGTAGTCTCAGAACCCCAAAACCTATGAATAGAAATAATAAATGTGTTTTGGAATCATCTTTATCTTTTTCTAAAAAGTCATCTTTCAAGGACAGTTCAGAACAAAATCCTGAAAGGAATTATCCAAGATGGCTCACTAGCCAGAAATCTGACCTTAATGTTTCAGGGGTCACTAGTCTACCTGATTTTAAGTATCCAATTTGGCTCCATAATCAAGACTTACTGCCAGACGCAAATAGTCAAAGGGCTTATAACTTATTTAATGGAGATGAATATTCTCCTATAAATAGTTACCAGACACAAAGAACTACTCAGCTTACAAACAAAGTAGATTGTTTTGAATATTCTTTTGAACCTTCAAACTTTACAGATACCTTCAGTGAGTATGAAGGATTAGCTAATGAATATAAATGTCATTGTGAGAACCCACTTCTCCCAGGACAATCCCCAAAGCCATTCTGTGGTAATATTTTGTTTTTAGTTTTTTATTTTAAAACAGGATGTGTTAAGATTTAATGTACTCTGTAGAAGTTTTTTGATGTAATAACATTTTTAGACTGTATAATTTTGAGCATTTTAAAGCTATTTCTGTTTTCATTGCTTAAATTATCAACACTTTTTCCTAATTTGCTGTCATAGACGTGCACATTTCAAATATTTTTCCTGTTGTCTGTGAGACGTTTTGAGATTTCTATTTTCTTCTTAAAGAGTGTTTTTAAAATTAGGTGACAAAATTGAATTGCTTATCCTGAAGGCTAAGAAGAACCTCAGGCAGTCTACTAATGACGTCCCAAAGCCCATGGAAAAGGATGATAGTCCCTGTTCCTTAGATCAACTTGAAGCCGAGCGGTCATGGGAAAATGTCCCTGTTACTTTGTAAGTAAGTGACCTTGTTTGGTGTACCAGATGAAAAAGCGCTATGCCAACATCAGATTTGCTTTCCACATAACTAATAATTAATGATGGTATGATCTAACTTTCATGGTGCTTAGGTTGCATTTTTCATTTGTTACTACAAGATGATACAATGTTATGTATGCTTCTGTAAAATACATGCTGCATGTTCATTTTGCTTTGGTGTTAAATTAAATGTGAGTATGTGTGTGCAAGCATGTGTATATGTAAATAATTATGAAACTTGAACATTTACTTTGCAAATGGGGTAGCATTATGGAATCCTCGTTGCATTTTAAATGTTAAGTCTTCCCAACACTTATTATTCATGTCTTGTTTACATTTTGGTTTCCTCTTTTATTCATTGCTTTCCTGAGATGACAGTACATTTTGAGATATGCTCTTTTGTAGATCTAGGGTTCTTTTCATTTTGTTTGCTCAACCTTTCTATGGCCTTTCAATCTTTCTGTATTTTGGAATAATTAAAAAGTCCCTACATACCTAAGATGGGTATGGTGTTGACTGTAGCTTATATAAGAACGTTTTTTTCATTAGTGGTACTACATTTGGAAGTGGTACTCACAGAGATGCAGTTTTGGTAAGCCATATCTGTATCTTAGGCTCTAATAGTTGATAATATTTCATAATTTCTGGATGCCTTTTTTTTTTTCCTTGAGACAGTGTCATGCCCTGTAGCCTAGGCTGTCCTTCAAGTCTCAATCCTCCTCTGTCAGCCTGCAGAGTATGTGGGTTTCTCTTGATTGTTTCTCAGTTGACTACTTGACTTTGAATGCTGATACTGATTGTCATCCTATCTCATTTCTTACTTTCTTACTTTGATAGCTATGCAAGTTCTCTAAATTTTAAAGATGGAGAAAATAATAGTTAATTAGGGTTGTAAAGACTAGAAGTGAACTGTCTTAAGAATCATGTAGTGTCGGTGATTGCTCACAAAAATTTATTTTCTTTTAGTTTTCTCATTCTATTTCAACAGTTTTTTTAAAAAGAACTTATAACTGGCTCACTTCATGTTTAACTTCTTTTATTTTCTTATTTCCTAACCAGTTAGTTTTTTTGTGTTAGTAAAGAAGAGCTGCAATGCTTAGTTTTTAGTTGTTAACACAAAATGAGGAATAAAGTAATAGCAGAGCTGATTAGGAGTAGAATTGTTGAATGGATTTACTGTATATGTTTTGCAGTTAGACTATAAAACTTGCATTTTGTAAAAATAATGTCAATTATTTGACTCAGTAACTTGCACCTAGAACTTCATTTTTAGAGAGTCAATTCTCAAGTATTATGTTTATAGAAAAAGAAAAGGTGGATTGCCGAGAAGAGTAAATAGATCTTAGTTGAAACTTGAAAAATCTTCCAGGATGAAACAGAATAGGAAGCAATAAAGTTAGTGGTCTAAAAGGTAGAATGTAAATGCTGGGTTCATCGGTAAAGTGCTTACACAAAGTACTCGCAAAATGTTTGGATCTGTAGCACCCATGGGAGAAGCTGGGATGGTAGTGTGTATCTGTAATCCCAGCAGGGAGAGGCAGGGACAAGAGGATCTCTGGAGTTTTGGGCAAACTGTTCTTGCAGAGTTGGAGAGCCAAGGTTCAGTGAAAGACCTTCAGAAATTAAGATGACTAAAAATAGAGGAAGACATTGCCCTTGGCCTAGACGTATACACACACATATTATAAATGAGCGAGTGTGTGTACACACACACACACACACACACACACACACACACACACACACAGTAAAAAGTAAAACATAATGAAAAGCAACTGAACATACTTTAAACATTTTGTTATGAAAATGTTACACATAAAAATAGGATAGTGTAATGAGCTTCTGTGTTCTGTATCTTCAATATGGATATATAAAAATACATTGAGTGGTGAGGGAAAAGATTTCCCAGACTGATAAAAAGTTTTAAGTAAAATATGTCAACAAAGAAGTGCTTCTTAAAAAAATGATTAGCATGCAATGTTCAAGTGTTACATAGAGATAAATGAATATTGTGATTTTTAAGTTACAAATATATGTTATAATGATATAGAAGAAATACTACCATAATATTTATTACTGTGATAAGTACAATTTAACTTGAAACATTCTTTTTTCCGTGAGTACTCCTTACTACTCAGAACATCAAGAAAGAAGTGATTATTGAATGACTACTAAAAATATAAGGTGCATGGAGAACTATTTTACAGTATCTCTGTGAAATAAGGACAGTAAATGTAGATACTTGGACAGGTAAATTACTGAAGGTTGCGTGGAGTTGGGACTGTGATTAGAATTTTCAGTTTGGAATTTACATTTTAAAAATTAAATCTTTTCTCAGTTTTGCCGACACTAATAATAATTCTGAGATGTGTTTGTCTTGTTGGGGAACACAAAACTGCGTCTTAAGTGAAGACTTCTGAGTTTTGAGTTTTCTGTTATCATTATTAGGAAAATAACTTGTTTGGTATGTATGCCTGGCACTGGGGATTGAACCCAGTCTCCTGCATGCTGGGCTTAGGACTTTATTACTGAGCTTCACGTCCAGCTTTCACAGTTTTTACTTGGCAAAAGGAACCTGTGCCAAATGTATGAGCTTTTGAAGTTTTTCCATGGTTGGGCAATTCAGTTGAGGAATAATACTTTACTTTATATTTAAACTATCGGTATTGGCTTTAAAGCTGGTAAGGAGAAGCCAGGGAACACAGAAGGCCTGGATTCCGGTATCAGTTTAGGGAGAGGGCAGAGGAATTAATACACACCTTGTTATGAGTCATATTCATGACATTTATTATTTTTTTGGTCACAACTTTAAAAACATATTTTTAAGTGTGTGCGCTCTTATGTGTGCATGTGTGAGTATGATTGAAATGTTGCAGAAGTAAGAAGAGGTGGTTGTATCTCTTGGAGCTGGAGTTACAGTGATTATGAGCCATAGGATGGCTCATATGCTGGGAGAAGAGTAGGTCCTCTGCAATCGCAGCAAGTGCTCATAACTGCTGAGTTGTCTTTACAGCCTAACTTGTTTTTAAGTGAAAAAGTTTGAATTATATAATGCCTACTTTTTAAATTACTGTTTGTATCCTTTAAATCCTCTGTAGCAAATCTCCTGTCCCAGTTAAAGCTGATGACAGTCCTCAACAAAGTTCTAGAATACAATGTATTAAACTTCCTGACAACTTTTTAAATGATGATAATCAGGTGAGTAAAATCTTTATATTAAAAGAGGGTCTGTATTTAATTTATGCATATAATTTCTGTTATTTAATATTTTTAAAGAACAACAAAAAGTTCCTGTAATGTTTTCCCCCAAATATCCACAAAACTACAAATTTTATCAGAATTTAGTATTTTGAGGACTTTTAGTATTGTAAAGTACAAGAAACTGGAATTAAATTATACATGTAGCTTGAATTGTCATTACATTGTTTTTTACTGGAAAACAAGATGGAGACCATTGTGGGGAAAATGATCTCTCGTTGTAGGCCAACTGATCATTGAGGCTTGTGTTTCTTCAGTAATAATACATACCATAATAATTTAAATTATTACCTTATTTTATAGTCAGTTTATGTTTTCAAATAAAAATGTATGTATACATGTTAAAGTTAGTTTTATATGATTCAGATTTTCTCTTAACCTATCTATTATACAAATGATTGAGACTCTTTTATGTTTGTGTAATAATAAGCTTCATAACACTAGAACTGACCAGTTATTAATCTATTCTTAACCCACTAAGCTAATCTGGCCTCCTCCCAGCTTACATCCCAGTGATACTAGTGCTTTGTAGCTTTCCTGCTCAAGCTCCTCTCTCCTGATGTCCCTTGGATCTCTCCCATGTCTGAATCCCCTCCTTCCTCTTCTAATTCCTCCCCTGGCTGGCAAGAAGTCCAGCCCTGTTGTCTCCCCTGCTCAGCAATTGGCTGTAAGCTGCTTTACTGGGGACAATATCAGGGGAAATTGGGGAGCATTTTTTAATTAAATTTTTATTTTTTATATTAATACAGTTTATTCACTTTATATCCCAGCTGTAGCCCCCTTCCTCAGTCCCTCCCAATCCCACCCTCCCTCTCTCATCTCTTTCTAAGCCCCTCTCCAAGTCTACAGATAGGGGAGGTCCTACTCCCTTTCCATCTGACCCTAGCTTATCAGGTCGCATCAGAACTGGCTACATTGTCCTATGTGGCCTGGCAAGGCTGCTTCCACATCAGGGGGAGGCGGTCAAAGAGCCAGCCACTGAGTTCATGTCAGAGACAGTCCCTGTTCCCCTTACTAGGGTACTCACTTGGATACTGAACTGCCATGGGCCACAGTTGAGCAGGGGTTCTAGGTTATCTCCATGAATGGTCCTTGGTTGGGGTATCAGTCTCAGAAAAGACCCCTGTCCTGTATCAGATATTTTGGCTCTGTTGCTCTCCTTGTGGAGGTCCTGTCCTCTCTAGGTCTTACTATCCTCCCCATTCTTTTCTAAGATTCCCTGCACTCTGTCCAAAGTTTGGTTAGGAGCCTCAGTATCTGCTTTGATACCCTGCTGGGTAGTTTTGAGTTTAGCTTATTTTATTAAGTGTGATTTCCAGTTTCATCCACTTTCTTGCAGATGCCATGATCTGAGTTTTCTGTGTCTGCATAACGGTTTCTTGTGTTTCTGTGGTGTGTTTCTTTATGGGTGCAGCTGCTGCAGGACGTCAAGGTTGGCCCATTTCCTGACCTTACAATAGTGCGGCAGTATAGATATGAGTGTGCAAGTATCTCTGTGGCGTGCTGATACAGCTCTTCTGAGTGGATAACCACGGGTAGTGTAGCTGGCTTAAATGGTAGTTCTTTTTTCAGTTTTGAGGGCTAGTCATTCCATTTCTATAGTGACCTAACACTTTCACATTTTCACAATAAGTGAAAAAAGGCTAGTGAATAAGGCTTTCTCTTTCCTGATCATTGAAAGTATGCTGAGAAAGATTTTCTTGAAATCTAGTCCTCTCTTAGTTGATAACCAATTTTCTTCAGATATTAGAAAAGAACATTTTGATACACCTGGATTCTGATTTTTGTTCAGAAGCCGTGGTTTGAAGGTAATGAGTAAATGTGTAATATTCATTTTAAAGTGCGCAGTTAGTGCTGGCCATATATGTGCTATCATCCACGGGAGCACACCTACAAATGGCCACATCCTCAAAAAAGAATGAGTCTTCCTTTTCCAGCCACCGACGTCCAGTCACTTCTCAGGAAAGGATGGGGCTTGGAGATCATTTACCTTATCTGTGCCAGAACTTTGGTTGGTTTATTTTCTGTAGGCCTTGGGCAGGTAGCCAGAGCTGTTGTGAGCTCCAGAAGGCACCACAGCCTTTCTCCCTACCCTTTGGCTCTTTGTTCTCTTTCCTCTTCATTGATGTTTCTTTAGCCTTGGTGTTTGTAATACAGACATCTGAGTTATGGCTGAGCATATATTGTGCATCTCTGCATTGACTACTGACATTACAGAAAGCAGCTGCCTTGACCACTGCTAAGAGCAGGTCAGGTTTACGGTTATAAATATATATGTTCAGGAAACAGCTGGCCAGTTCAACTGCTTAGCAGAGCAGCAGTAGTAAGGTTCTGCCATAGCCCTGTGACCTCCCCTAGCCATAGACTTTGGACTAGACATCATAGAATTTTCTTCTGTGGAGCATGCCTCAAATTCAGTCAGAACAGTTTTGCTATGACTAGACCAGTAGGTACACCCTTTCTGACAGGTTGGTATTGTAGCTTGCAGGGTCCAATGGTAGGTAAGACCACAGATATAGATTATTGTTTTTAAATAGCAATTTTAATACATCGTCTCGATTTTTGCATTAATTTTATGTTGGGGATATTATACAAATTGTACTATTTTTCTTTTATATTTGAATGGTTAATTTCATCATTTCATTACCTTCAGAGCTCTACTCTCTCTGGAGGCAAACATCATGGTCCCGTTGAAGCCTTGAAACAAATGTTATTTAACCTTCAAGCAGTACAAGAAAGTTTTAGTCAGAATAAAAATCCGGAGCCAGAAGAAGATATTAAACAAGTAAGTACAAACTTAGGATTGAAACATATGAATTTATCTAAAATTGTGTTAATTTTTTCACCACAATGGCAGGATACATGACATAAACATGTTTATCTTGGCTTGTGGCTTCAGAGGTTTCAGTTCATAGTCTTTGGCTTCACTGGGCCCTAAATGAGGCAGAACATCAAGGCAGCAGGAGCAGTGGTGCTTGGGAGTAGAATGGGGAGAGGCTGTGCATCTCATGACCCTACTGAGGAATAAAAGAGTGAGGAAGGGCCTGGAGACCAGTGTAACCTTCAAAGGCAGGCCCCAGTGATCAACTTCCTCCACTCAGTAGAGCGACCAGTTGAGGATCAGCACTTGAGCTGTAAGATAATATTATATCCAAATTTATATCTTATTTCACCAGAATCCATTTTATACCTACCTCTAGTCCTATGCAAAGTATCATGCCTACCCAGTACATGCTGTAGAATTGTACTCTAATTATATACTCTTTAGAAATTATTTTACTCACACCTAGTATTGTGAGAATTAGACTTGTAAAGATTTGTTTTACTTTATTGCTTCTGAGCTGTGTTTTCTGTATATTTTATGCTTAAGGCCAGTGTTTTATTTAGAGATGCTGCTGCTACAGTTATAGTCTGGAAGAGGCACCAATGCCATGTTTACATCCTACAGAACTAATCTTCTGGCTTCTTACAAACAAGAACTTCCTAGTGTTTCTGTGAAACATAGAATATATTCTCAGTGTTAGACTTTTCCACCTTTGTATCTCAGAAAAGTAAATGTTTGTTACTATGTTCTTGTTGACACTTCTGAGTATAATATTTTTTTAAAATTTTCTGTATTTCTAGAAATTTTGAAAAATTTGTTTCGCTTCATGCTGTTCTACAGAGGATAAAATTTCAAAGTACAGGATCATAGAATTTATATTCTCCCATATCTACTTGTGAATTGTAACTGCCACTTACCTAGCAAGTGGAACATAAATTTAGAGCAGATAACCTCTTTACTTTCAGTTTTATTTTCTTCTTTTTTGTGACAAACAGAACTTTGGTATTGTTGATGTAATATGATATATTAAATAGGTATAGATTATTGAATGGGTAAATCAAGCTAATTGGTGTATATCACCAATTGGTGTATATAGGTATTTTTGTTATGATGAGAACCTTTGAAATACCTAATCTGTTAATGTTATTTTCATAGAATTGTGTTTGTAAGTTTCTCTCTTTACCCGGCTAATACACAAATAATGAGACTTTAATATTTGTGTAATAATAAACTTTACAACACAATAATTGAGCAGTTAATCTGGCTTCCTTCCAGCAGCCCAGCAATACTTGCACTTTTTGGCTTTCTTTCTCTAGCTCCTCTGCTAATGTTTCTTGGACCTCTCCTATGCCGAATCCCCTACTTTCTGTTTTAACAACTCCTCCCCTGGCCGGCAGGAAATTTGCTGTAAGCTAGTTTTTGTTTTTGTTTTTTGTTTTTTTTTCCGTATCAGGGGACAATTGGGGAGCAGTGTTTACATAGCGTTGAGACAGGAAATTCTTGGATGGATTGCAACCAGATACGGGGATGGGGGTGCAGAAATCAGCATTTGAATTATACAGTAACCTTATGCCTACATTACTCCTTGAAATTTTCAATTCTGTAACACATTGTTATTAACTATGACTACCATAGTTACACAGGAGCTATATTAAACTTAACCCTCCTGAGTGTAATTACCAACATCTCATTTGGTATCACTCAGCCAGCCTCTAATTTTACTGCGTGATCCAGTGGCTAGAGAAATAGCTCAGTTAAGAAGACTTGTTTTTACCGAAGGCCCAAGTATGGTTCCCAGCACCCAAGTAGTGTGGCTCACAAGTGCCTGTAACTCCAACCCCAGGGCTTTAAGAATGGTACTTCTCAATTCGATATGTAAGTGAAATCATTCATTATTTGATTTCTGTGCTTATTTTAGTGATCATTTTTACTGCCATTCAGTGGAGCTTTATAACAGGGAGTGACTCTGCCTTAGTGTGGCAATTTGTTCATTTAAACCATAGTATTCATTTTTCCTGCTGACAGTGTAATCATAGCATAAAGATACAGTGTAACCTACCCTTCACTTACTCTCTTAAACATCATTAACCTTAACCTTTTCTATAAGGATGCAGTTTTAAGCCAAAGTGTAATTCTTTAAGGGGCATATGTTTAAGAGCACTGAAAAGTGAGTCAAAGTAGTTGTATTCTTTGAATAAAGTAAAAATGAAACTATTAGTTGTTATTCAAAAAATAATTTGGTACAATGGTGAGATTTCAAATATTTTTATTTCTTTTTGGTTTTAATAATAGGTATCAGAGGATGATTTACAATTGAAGGAAAATATGATTCCAATTACTGCATCTCTTCAAAAGTAAGTATTTACTAATTCAGACACCAGTACATTTTAGTCATTCCTTTGATAAAAATCAGAGTGCAATTCAGTATTTCCAAGAGTGCATGTATGGTAGGCATGTTTAAGTTTCTTGTAGCACATTATATTATTTTTTAAGATTTATTTTAAAATGTGTTTATATTTATATATTGTGTGTATATGTGTGTTTATCCATGTGGAGTCCAAAGGTCCACATGGAGTTTCTTCCTTTTCAGGGAATGCATTTTTTTTGTCTTATAAAAGAACACTGCTTTCTCTTAAACCTGTACAGTTTTCCTCAGTAACACGCATAGTATCTTTCAGTACTATGAAAATTAGGCAGTATGGATGAAGTTTTTACATTGGTAGCAGCTTGATTTCTCTATGTTCTATGACATAAGTATGTTATGTTTTCAGCAGTAGGGTTTTACTGTTAAGTTTTGGAGGGTAACCAAGAACAGTGGCCATGGTCTATAATATTGGGAGATTGTGGGTCTCAACTGACAAATATTTTGGGAAGAGATAATTCATATCTGACATTGGGCTTTTTATTTGATAGCCTATGGTGTCTAGGAAAGGCATTGTCCCACTGTAATAGGGTGATTCTATTTAAACTCTTTATATGTGAATGTATATACTTTAGGAAGCTTCTACAGTTTTTTTCAGGGGTCTTCAGGACACTTAAGTTATTCCTCATACTCCTTTTTTTCTTTGTATTTCTTCTTTTGAGAACTGTTTAATTACCTGCTTCAATTAAATTGTTTAATTGCCTGCTTCAATTAAAACTATTTTTGAACTTATTTTTATGTTATATATATATAGATGTTTTGCCTGCATGTGTACCACATATGTGCCTGGTCCCTTGTAGAGGTCAGGAGACAGCACTGGATTTCCTGAAATTAGTGTTATGGTGGTTGTTAGCCACCATATGGGTGCTGGGAAATGGACTCACCAAGTCTTATCAAGAGCTACATGTGTTCTTTAACCGCTGAGCCATTGTTAATACTCCTGTCTCAATTTTTAATTGGTTTTTTTTGTCTTTGTTTGGTTTTTAGGTTTTATGAGATCTTAATATATTCTAAACACCTGTGTCAGCTGTAAAGCTGGTACAGATTTTTCCCCTTCTGTAGGCTGGTTCATTATTTAAAAGATTGTGTTCTTTGTTGTACATAGTTTCATGAGGTGTCCCATTTTATAAATTGTTAGTCTTAATGCTGTGCTACTGAGTTTTCCTGTTCAGAAAGTTTCTTCCTGTGCCTGTAAGTTTAAGCATATTTTCTAATTATCCTCTATCACATTGAGGTTATTGGGTCTAATATTGGTTCTAAGGTCCTTGATGTCTTTGGAGTTGTTTTTTAAAGACTAAGAGATAAGGATTGAGTTCCTCTACATGTAGGTATTGAGTTTGAAGATGAAGATAGTTTTTAATTTAATGTATGTTTTGAAAAAAGTCTAGATTGTTAATGTATGCATTATTCAACCTTACTAGAGAAATTACTTGTTTTCCTTCTCAACAAATATGAGTTTTATTGAAAATTTTATAGTTTTAAGTGTTTTTTTTGTTCGTTTTTTGGTGTTTCGAGGCAGGGTTTCTCCGTATAGCCTTGGCTGTCCTGGACTCATTTTATAGACTAGGCTGGCTTAGAACTCACAGTAATCCACCTGCCTCTGACTTCCTGAGTATTGGGATCACAGTGATATTTTAAAAAGTTAAGCTATTTTTACTGCAAATATTTAATGATTTTTGTGCCTTGTTTCCTATATATGATATATGTAGCATGACAAAAGAGAATAGAGCTGTTGGGAAAATTAGATGAAAAATGTTTTATTAAATATGATACATGTGATACTATTTTTTTTATTAGTCTCCAGCAAATTAACTAAAAATTGACTAACATAGGTATTTCAAGCAAATGTTTATAGGATGCTAAATTATATTAGTTACTATGTGTTCAGATGTCAAAGTTTATAAAAAACAGTTCTCAAAGTTTTATGTTTTTCTATGACTTAATTTCTTACTGTAATTTTGAAATCAATAAGTAATGTAATCACTATTTCTTGCTTTCTACATTGGCTACTCAGTTTTCAGTGTTGGTTTATAATGTATTTTTTATTTTTTTAATAAAGGGCCTTAGACCATTTATCACGCCTGAGGGAGCTGGTCGATGATACCAGTGGGAAACAGTCACCAAAAATGTGAAGAGGAGAACACAACTTTGACCACAATAAACAGTCACATATAATGCATTATGTACTTTTGCTATTGCTTACATTGACAAAGTAAATGTAGGCTATATGTTGTCTATGACAAGATCAAGTATATGACTCTAAACTTGGAAATATTTATAGGCCTGATTTTATATGAAAAAAAAGGTGGAAGACACTTAAGATATGTCCTGAAATAGTTCTTGGGTCTTCAGACCAGAAAATGCTTAATATTCAAAAGAGGATAATTTCCTTTCTTAACATTTTTCTGGACCTCGCTTTTACTGACATTCTGATTATTTGTCATTTAATTCTTTGATGTTAAACTTTTTAGCTTTCTACCTAAATCTCCTAAATTTTATATTTATGTGTGTATGTACTGAATTTTTTAAGCAGCTTAAAATATAATACCCAAATTGTTGTATTATATGGAATTTTGTTACTTCTAAAGTTTTATAAATTGAATAATTAACATTTCATGTATGTAAATGCCACTTAAATAGTTGGTGACTCAGTGTTAATGGAATTTTCTTTTATTGTTACATCATAGAACCTTATTTAATTAATGCTTTGATTCTTTGTAAGATAATCTTGATAATACTTGACATTTGACAAATCATTTTAGAGAGTATATTTGAGAATTTAATATTTGATATGTGGTTGTTTCCTAGATTTTAGTTGTGGATTAATCTCAATCTATTAAAAGCTATGACTTTATGACAAATATGAAACTAAGCAAAAAATAAATGCGGGAAATCCAAAACCAATTGTAATTTAAAGCTGTTTTTTGTAGGCTTTCAAATTTATCTCTATATAGAACTGAACTGTTCTATGTTTTGCAGTTTCTACTACACAAATCTGTTTATAGTAAGTAGAAAACATCTTCATCAAGGCTCAAAGTTATGTAATAAAACATAACTAATGTATTTAAAAGTCTAATGAAATTAAAGAGTGTGTGCATGTATAGCCAAATACTAAAAATTAATGTTTTACCCAAAGGGCTGTGTCTTTGATGAATAAATGTATTTGTTACGGTGAATTTCTAAACATATGTCCGAATAGTTTTTTTCTCAAGCTATTAAGGCACTATTAACACCAAAATGCAATGAAGTAGACTCTCTCTTCTTGTGTTTTCTAGTCTGTGAGGTTTCCCACAGTATTTTTCTGGCTAGAATAAGAAGCTGTTAGCAGTGAATTTGTTAACGCTAAGATCTCTTTGCTGCTGATATTCCGTTTTGTGATATTTTCTACTGCTAGCAAATGGCTTATATAGTCAAATATAGCATTACTTTGTAGATTAAGTTATGCCTGGCTTTAAAAGGGAAGAGGATATTTTGGATATATGCCTAGGAATGGTATAGCTGGATATTGAGGAAGTGCTATTCCTAATTGTCTGAGAAAGTGCCAGATTGATTTCCAAAGTGGTTGTACAGGTTTACAAACCCATCAGCAATGGAGGAGGGTTCCCCTTTCTTCACATCCTCCCCAGCATGTATTGTCACTTGAGTTTTTGATATTAGCCATTCTGATGGGTGAAAGGTGAAATCTCAGGGTCATTTTGATTTGTAGCTCCCTGATGACTAAGGACACTGAGCATTTCTTTAAGTGTTTCTCTGCCATTCTATATTCCTCTACTGAGAATTCTCTGTTTAGCTCTGTACCCCATTTTTTATTTTGATTACTTGATTTGTTGCTGTTTAACTTGAGTTCTTTATATATACTGGATATTAGCCCTCTGTCAGATACAGGGTTGGTAAAGATCCTTTCCCAGTCTGTAGGCTGTTTGTTTATTTATTTTTGTTCTGACGACAGGGTCCTTTGCTTTACAGATGCTTTTCAGTTTCATGAGGTCCCATGTATTGATTGTTGCTCCTAGAGCCTGTGCTGATGGTGTTCTGTTCAGGAAGTAGTCTCCTGTGCCAGTGAGCTGAAGGCTCTTCCTCACTTTTTCTTCTAAATGATTTAGTGTGTCTGGTTTTATGTTGAGGTCTTTGATCCACTTGGTCTTTAGTTTTGTGCAGGGTGAAAAATACGGATCTATTTGCATTTTTCTACATGTAGACATCCAGTTAGACAATTTGTGGAAACACCATTTTTTGAAGATGCTGTCTTTTTTCCGTTGTATGATTTGGGCTTCTGTGTCAAAAATCAAGTATCTGCAGGTGTGTGGGTTTATTTCTGTGTCTTCTATTTGATTCCATTGATTCACCGTTCTGTTTCTATGCCAGTACCATGCAGTTTTTATTACTATTGCTCTACCATGTTCATAGCAGCTTTATTTGTAATAGTCAGAATCTGGAAACAACCTAGATATCCCTCAACGGAGTAATAGATACAGAAATTGTGGTACATTTACACAATGGATTACTACTCAGCAATTAAAAACAAGGAAATCATGAAATTTGTAGGCAAATGTTGGGCTCTAGAAAAGATCATCCTGAGTGAGGTATCTCAGAAGCAGAAAGACACACATGGTATATACTCACTTATAAGTGGATATTAGACACATAATATAGGATAAACATACTAAAATCTGTACACCTAAGAAAGCTAAGCAAGAAAGAGGACCCTGGGTAGGATAATCAATCCTCACTCAGAAAGACAAATGGGATGGACTTTGGAAGAAGGAGAAAACAGGACAGGAGCCTACCACAGAGGGCCTTTGAAAGACTCTGCCCAGCAATGTATCAAAACAGATGCTGAGACTCATAACCAAACTTTGGGCAGAGTGCAGGGAATCTTATGAAAGAATGGGGAGATAGTAAGACTTGGAGAGGACAGGAGTTCCACAAGGAGAGCAACAGAACCAAAATAATCTGGTCACAGGGGTCTTTTCTGAGACTGATACTCCAATCAAGGACCATTCATGGATATAACCTAGAACCCCTGCTCGGATGTGGCCCATGTCAGCCTAGTATCCAAGTGAGTACCCTAGTAAGGGGAACAGAGATTGTCTTTGACATGAACTCAGTGGCTGTCTCTTTGATTACCTCCCCTTGAGAGGGGAGCAGTCTTTCCAGGCCACAGAGGAAGACAATGCAGCCAGGCCTGATGCGACCTGAAAAGCTAGGGTCAGATGGAAGTGGAGGAGGACCTCCCCCCTCAGTGGACTTGGAGACGGGTATGTGAGGATATAAGGGAGGGAAGGTGGGATTGGGATGGAATTGAGGGAGGAGGCTAAAGCTGGGATACAAAGTGAATTAATATTAAAAAATTTTTTGAAAAGGGAGGATTGTAACAGGGTAATCATCAGGTAGGTCTGGGAGAGTATTTTCACCTAGTGAAATACATCAGACAATTTCTAAAGAGAGATCTAGGTTATAAGGTCCAATTACACACTGCTTATATGTTTGTCACACATATAAACGATTTCTGGAAAGCCTCAGGAAAGGCATGGTTCTCTAATGATTCACTAATATTCTTTGGTTAATGCTCCCCATTTCATGAACCTGTCTCCATTGCTAAATATACCCAGCTCTTTCCCAAATTATGTTACAACTTACACTTAACAGTTTTATGTTACCAAAGAAGCATTCCCTTTTTCCTTTTATATATGGAGAAATTTAGCCATTACCTAAATAAAGGAATTGATTCAATAAATTATTAATCTCCACTTAGTATATTAAGAGACAACTGAAAAATATAAACGTTCATGAAATTCTACAAAGTAGTAGTATAGTTAATGTTTCAGAGTTTTTTAGAGTTTTGGAAAAAATGTCAATATGGAGATTGCTGAATTGAGAAATTAAAGTAGATAATAAGAAAAATTAGATTTTAAAAGATGGTTATAAATGTAAAATTGTATCACTTCATTGCTTTTATCTTAAGGTATTTTGGGAAAATGTTCATTAAGAAAAAGGAAGAGGATTTAAGTTCTTGAGTATAAAATTTTAAAAATGAAAGGGTTTGCCGGGTGTAGTGCTGCATGCCTTAGATCCAAGCACCTGGGAGGCAGAGGCAAGCAGATCTCTGAGTTTGAGGCTGGTCTGGTCTACACTGTGAGTTCCAGCACAGCCAGAGCTACATAGTGAGACCGTGTCTCTTAAAAACAAAAAATAAAAAGCAAATGGTATGGAAAGGTTATCCTATTAATAAAGTGCTTGCTACTCATGCTTAACTAATGTTAAAAAACAAAGAAAAAGAAAAGGCCAGGCATGGTAGAGCACAAGTCCAGCATTGGAGAGGCAGAGAGGATTCCTATAGCTTCCTGTCCAGCTTGTGTAGTCCAATAAGTGAGCTCCATGCCAGAGATGCTTTCTTCAAAAATAGGTAGAAAAGCATTCCTGAAGCATGACACCCAAGGTTGCCTCCTGACCTCCATATCTGCGTTGCTAACTCTCAAAATAATTTAAAAATATTTGAGGTCAGGAATTATAGATAGGAACAAAATGCAGTCAAGACTGAAATATACTGTCCTTATAAGTATGAATTCACCATTCAGCTTCATAGAGATTCCTCACCAAATTGAGAAACTCTATCCTTGAATTTGCTTTGGTATATGTTTCTGTAGTTAGGTTATTTCTTGGCAAAATTTATCCTTTGGGGTTTGTCCTTGTATATTGGAGAGATGACTCAACAGTTCAGAGCACATCCTGCTCTCCCAGAGGACTACAGTCTGGTTTCTAGGACCCACGTTGGGCAGCTCAAAACCATCTAATTCCAGTGCCTTCTGAAGGTACCTGCACATATGTAGGTACTCATAGTGTCAAAAATACTTCAGTAAAAATACTGATCTTTAAAAAAATATTCCCAATGAAAAATCATATATTTTTGTGTTTTATACATGGGTTTTCTCTTACTAGGTTGATTCTTTTTCAGTTTCTTCCTTCACCCTGTATTTCAAACCTATTTAGTGGAAGAAGTGCTGCTGAGGACAAGGGTCACTCGGTGTGACACATTCTGAGTTTGGACAATTGCATGATACAGAGCCACCATCATGCTAGGTATCATGAGAGTTTTTCTCTGAAGTCTTATGTGCCTTTTATCCATTTCCACCTCCACCCATGCAAAACTGTCTTAAGGTGAGGTATATCATCCATACTTCAAATTTATTTGCATTTTGTATTTCTGCTGCTGTTCTTATATATGATCAGGTCTTATTAAGTATTACAGCTGGACATTGCCATAAGCCTTCTGATTACTTGAGCCCCGAACACTTGGGGATTTAAAGGTTTTTGGTATTTTGCATTTTACCAGATATGCAGCCCATTTTACAGATGCAGCACTGAATCAAGGACCATTTTTAGTATCTGACTGTCTCGATTGCTTTGTGCTGCTGTGATTGGGTATCCAAGACTGGGTAATTAATAAAGTTTTCTTTCCCCCTAGTCTGGAGGGTGAGTGGTCATCTCAGAATGCTGCCATCTCTAGTGTCTGTCCTTTGAGGGCTGCTCTGCTCCCAAGATGG